CTACTCGCACGTCGATTTAAAAAATATAATATGTGAAAACACTTAACACCTTTACTATGTAAGTGAAAACATATATCGTATAGAAATATTTATTAAACACCATCAATTCCATAAATTCAAGCGGAAYATACGTGTTATAAAGTGTTGTTAGTTTAACAAACAAAATGTGACTACAGGATTAATTTAAGAAAAAAAGCTCATGACGTAGGCCGATCTAACGCCATTATTCCCCCTGCCTGTACGTGTCTCCGAGATAGGTTACCTTTATTATTCATGGAATTATAGAAATGTTCAATATTGTTTACATTCAAACTTTGATAACATTCGTCAGTCGAACATTTATGATTCTATTTTGTTATTTTTATTGCGTATTTTTGAGCACAACATTTACTGTTCTATTATATTATAATGTATTTTAAGAGATCCATGAAAAATTGCGACACACCATTATAATCAAAATCTGGTTTAAATAATATTTGATACAGGAAAAATATACTAGTATATTATCTTTGTAAGAACTAAACAATCCAACAATCAGTACAGAAAATTACTCAGACACTTTATGTTAGATTTAATCCGACGGACTCAGAGTTGTCTGTTTTTGTATTTTATGACAAAAAATAAATAGCCCCAGGAAAGTATTATAGTTTAAAAATATTATAGGTTTTGGTAAAAATACAAGATAGCTCCGAAAATTAAAATCGTTTGTTTTATTTTCTGATAAGTTTAAAAAAAAAAAATGGAATATTTGTCTGGTTTTTGTACGGCCCCCTGAATATTTACGGTTTGAATGTTGTATTATCACATCGCTGACATAAGCTTGGCTATTGGTATGATACTATGATAGATAAATCCCAACCCGAAAATTCCAAGTGGTTTAGTCGCCCACAAAAAGTGTAACTATATCTTTGTTCCGCTTGCGAAACAAGCGACGTGATGATGATATTTTATAAACAATGAGATATTATTATGATCGTCCACGTTTATAAATGGTACATAATATTATATAGGCGTAAAATATATACGTTGTTTACTTTGGGTRTATAATTATCTACCCAACTATATCCACAGGCCGTAATACTATGCGTCTATATGGTACAGTATGACGCAATCGATATAATATAAAATATGCCTAATGCGCAGTATTTTAGAGTATTATATTTATATATATATATAATATATATATAGGTAATTACTAATGTATTATAATATGCATATATTATTAGAATTACTTTTGGTAAGTGATAAAAACGACGATGTTTTAAACTAGTGAAATCATTGCCTAATGCGCAGTATTTTAGAGTATTATATTTATATATATATATATATATATATAGGTACTTACTAATGTATTATAATATGCATATATTATTAGAATTATCTTAAACACCACGCGTTTCCATGTTAGTGTGTTAACCACATGACTGATGGAGGCATAGGTATTCAAAATATGTGCACTATAATAACGTAATCGCATTATCAATTAATTGTTTTGTTTAAATAGTGTGTGTTCGGTGGAATGAATTAATATAGCATTCACCGGATGTTGATAGCAAT